TGTTGAGGTTGCACTGTATTGTAATATGGTCTATGAGACTTGTCTTACAGTATCTGGTGATTTAAAAGAAATATAAATCTTTATTTATATAAGCAAAAATATGTCTCTCTATGTTGTGATGAATGTTGCACTCTAGGTCTGCAATAATTTTCTTCCTTTTCTAGTTCTCTTTTTAATTAATTGCCAAGTTTAATATTTTCACTAGTCAAGCAAAAAAAATCCAGGAAATGTAACTTTGTTGATTAAATACAACGGTCGTAGTACGATTAGCCTCCTTTAGTTTACAAAAATGGACGGAGATTACCTTCACGGATGTTGATGTTTATCGAGATATAAAGTGTAACGTTTCCAATATGTCTTCAGAAATCAAATGTAGGTTTAGATCCCTGTCTAGCTGTCACCAGTGCGACGCGAGCACGGTGCTTGTTCGTATGTTAGTTGGATTCAGCTTCTTCATTGGTTTGTTCACTTTATAATATTTTTAGGGGTTTTGTTTTTATTTAAATTTTCAATGTTGTACTCCGTCGGCCGTCACTACGACCGGTCCTATCCCAAAATGGGCGGGGAAAATCTCTCTAAATGGTATCGGACTTATTCTTATACTGCTGTTTTATATTCTTCTCTGTGTTGTTCTATGATCTCGAGTGATGATTGTTGATGTTGAAATTAAGACGAAGACACAAAGTTTTGTCTTTCTATGGTTGATGACGGTTACTAAAATAAACACAATAATTTCACTATCGATAAACAGTTAAAATAATTCATTTAAGTAACAATTATATTAAGAATTTAAAAGGTGCAACAATTTAGCAATAATATTTAAAGTTTGAGTACTACGTGGACCGTCAGACCTCGAAATAAAAACAAAGTTAAAAAGTTGAATATTTTGGAATAAATGTCCCAAAAAGCTGAACATAAACATTTACGTAAAGAGAAAAACTATTGAAATGTGATATAATTTGATTAACTTTACCTCAAATTCAGAAGTTTAATTATTTAAGATAATTTTCTAAGAGAAATGAGACAATGCTTGTGCTCAGAAGAAAATCTTGAATACGACTGCTCGGAACTGACTTCGGGCGTTTCGGGCCGATAGCGCGCATTTGCAGTCACCGTGTACGAGCCGGTGCTCATGCGCAGTACATGTACAATAGCCGGAGATGAGCCGATGTACATGTACAATGCATGTAAGGGTGCCGGGACAGAGCCGATGCACATGCGTAGTGTAAATAAAAGAGCCGGTAATACGATCCACATTATAATACAAATCCGACTATTAAACTATGATCGAGATTAAATAAACGCATGCGCAAACAATACAAAGACGAAAATGAAAGTTAAAAGTTGTCAACAGACACGAAATTAGCAAAAATACATCCATTCCACGCAATTACAGTCATAAGCAGCGGTGTTTTACAAAAAGGTTCAATAAATACTTACTAAAGATAATATGAAAAAAGCAAGCCTCAAAGCGAGCATGATTTACCTTTACCGTGAAATAGTATAAAATAATTGTTCATTTTTATTTTACATTTTCCGTTTTAAAATTGTCATTCGGTATTTTATACACTGCTTCCGTTTATTCTGGTTCCCTGTTTTATTATGGTTCCCATATAAGTGCACAGGACACCAGTCTAAGCTTCCGTTTTCAATCAGAATACCTCGGCTTTTATTGTTATCTTGTAGTTCGGAAAGTTGCGATGTGTCACAGCAGTCAAAACCATCACTATTAGCAAGTACTCTAAGAGCTCGCTATAAATTTCCATGTTGGATGTTTTATGTACATACAAAAATAGATCGAAAATAATTCCATAACAATAACCGTAATTGATGTCGTAGAAAATGTATAATTAGAGTATTGCATAGAAACATGAACCCTCAGATGTCACAATGTTATTCATTCAATAGCATAGTTCAATGGCCAATGGCCCTCTTGAATGTTGCTAGGGTTCTAACCGGTAGGGGACTTATGGGTTGCTTGCAATACTATGATAATTGCTTGTTACTGAGTCTTATTATTATTATTATTATTATTTTTATTTTATGTCGGCATGCAGACTCGTTTATGGCATAGGCATTCTTATACTTTTTACCAAATTCAGCGTTTTATGGAATGGAACTAACGTGTCACATTGAATGTTCCATGATAACTGCCGTATAAACACGAAACACTAATCATTAGCAACGGGTCTTCCCTTATGCAAAAAGTTACAAGAACATATTTTACAAGAATGACCCATCAGTTAGATAGAAATAACAAAACACACACATATAATCTGGTCTGGATCAATGCTGGTCGCAAACGCACTATGTTGGTTTTGTCATGGCGCGGCTCATATATACTTGTACATGTATATATTTAGGACATTGCTTTCAAATAGTTTGATTTAGGTAAGAAAGAACAATAAGAAAATAATTGGTTATAAGTATTTTCTAGTTTAATAGCATTGAGCAATTGCTGACTGTTTATATCTATATATAATTTACGTTTCAATGGCTGGCTTAGAAAACATGTACAATTGCATAAGACGACAACAACAACAACAAACAGACAGACAGAAGGCAAGTAGATATTGAATCTTGTATGTTGTTTTGCAAAAATGAAAGAAAATTACATTCATATTTATTGAGATTATGCTGGTCTGATTTCAAAATCAGAAGTGTTTGATTACTTCTATGAAATGCTGACCAGTCAAATATATTTTATTATTATCTTCTAAAGACGTCTCTTTGTTACAATCTAAAATTAATTGGACATTAAGAGGGGAAAAGTGCCTCAATTCGTTAATTCAGACATTTATAAATTCAAAAGTTCGACATTTCATGTCGCGCGAACGGTCAGATAAATGAACTCAATACAAAGATGCGTATTAATTGGTGTTTAACAAAACTTTTAATGCAATATCTTTGCAAGATGAAACTCTTTTGGTGAAAGTAATGTGATACTGTATGGCCAATGTATCAGGTTTTTAAACAGATCTAATTAAGAAACAATTTCACAGTCCATTGAACTAACCATAGACTAAGAGTAAGTCGTGTGTGAAAAGGAAAACCTTCAACTTCACATTTCAACTGTGATGAATTACTCAAACTACTTTTTAATGCATTTTAATGCAATTCATTGGCAAAAGCTTCCAGCTTCCCTAACAAACTAATACTTTCATTATATGTATATTTTAAAGTAAGACTGAAGAATGAGTTCCGTACTAGTAGCAGCGATTGATTTCGGAACCACATATTCCGGATGGGCCTTTTCTTTAAAGCATGACTTTTATAAGGATCCAACAAATGTTTTCGCCAAAAATTGGATCGGCGATCAACTCATCTCGGCAAAAGGTATATTTCATTATTTACATTTAATTTCTTATAAAGTTATGATTAAAACCGCCTCCGTGGTCGAGGGGTTAGAGTCGATGACTTCTAAATAAATCCAGTTACCTCTCTGGCGTGGGTTCGATCCCCGGGAGATGCTTTGCTCTGGTGTGACTCTCCAGAAACGATGGTTAGGAAACTACCCGCCTATATGACTGAAATACTGTTGGAAAAAGGCGTAAAATGAAACAAACAAATAAAGTAATGACATAAGTAAAAATTTAGGAAGATGTACAGGGTTGCCATGCCACATAACTATGAGAAAAGTTCAATGAATAATAATAAAATATGTGAGTTTTTGAAATGGTTTTATCTTTTAAAAAATTGCCAAGAGTTTTGTTTACTATGCAGTACTTTAATAATGTAAAAGAACAATGATGGTGTTTCCGTGTATGCTTTTGGTATACATGTTTACTGTTTTATTTCATTCAATCAATTTATACATTTCTAGCACCAACATGAATACATCCAAACATCATTAAATGTAGGTAAATAACAAGTCTTATAGTCTGATTTTATTGACCTGTCAATTATGAATACATTTTAGCACTCATTTAAATATTCGATCCCACTTCGGTTTTGTGCGTTATTTTACGAGAATTAATATGGAGTATATCACTTACGTTTGGAAAACTCCCACTAGATTAATGTAGGTTCTTGTAACATCCGCAATATAGCAAAGTCGGTTAAGTGATTACCTAATGCATGAGGGGTCCGATGTTCAATCCCCTTTTTAGACATTATTTTTACTTATTTTGTCTTTATTTTTAAGTATACTTTAATGAAAATGGTGAAGCGCTTGCAAAATTGTCTACACAGATATGAAACAACTAAAAACACTGAATTGTCACATTTTGTATTGTATAGTTACATTTATTGATTTTAATCGGAATGAATTTTCAGTATTAATTTTTAAACAATGTTATATACAAATGTATAGTATTTACAAAAAAGTGCAAAGCATATTAAAAACGGAACAACCATAACTTCAAAAATGTTGAAAATAGTTATGAATAAGAAAAAAAACCTGGGCCTACTCTGACACATTGGACATTTAGATAATTTATACCCGTAGTTCACCCTATTGCGTTATAACGGTCAGTGTAACTAATTCATAGAAACAAGACGAATTTAACCACATCTTACTGCGTACATCTCACGGTATTTACCGAACATTTATCGAATATTAATATAGTCTGTGCATTGACCGTATAATCAGTATGGAAATGACAGGTTGATAAAATCAAACAATACATTAAGTGAAATTTCCAATGTGAAACGACCTAACAATGATTAATTTTTAAATTAAATATTATGCTAAAATTTGTCGGAATTTTATTTTAAGAAATCATATACAGAACTTCCGATGTTCGATTTCTAAATATTATGTAGCATTTGATTTGAAAACAAATTAAAATATCTTTAAAGTATTATCTCAATATAAATGCACTATCACAAAATCAGTTAACTTAATGTAAAGATATAAAACATATCCCTCTTGATTTATTTCTAATTCAATAGTAGTTAGAATGCAGCTTGGTATAGAATTGTCATGGAAATGGCAGATTCTTTTTTAGACACTCATCCGTTTCGATTATAAAAAAACACATATTTATAATTTAGAAAATTCGAAGACACGTCATGCTTGAAGATGAAACAGGAAAACAATTACCTGCAAAAACAGTGTTCTCACTTGCTATTGAATTTCTGAAGCGAGATATTCTGGAACATTGTCACAAACAAATACTATTTGTCTTAAAAGAAGATGATATTAAATGGGTTCTAACAGTGCCTGCAATATGGAATGATGGAGCAAAACAGTTTATGAGAGAAGCGGCGGAACAAGTCAGTTAAAACGATTATATTTTTTAAAGAAGCAAAATTATGTACTTATGACTTATGTTGGTAAATTAACGGTAGGGTGACAATCAGGCCATTCAGAAAGGTGAACCCGGACCCATTTTCTAACAAGGGGTGTCATATACCAAAATGATCCCAAATGTGTGTAGTTTCCAAAACTGCCGGCCTTAATTGGCATAAATGGTGGCGATCAGAGAAATCCAATATGGCGTCCAAGATGGCCGTCGTAAATGAAAAATTCACTATGAGAATTTGACTGATTATAACTTATTTTCTTTTAACATACTTGCACATAATTTGACTTGCAACTTATACTTATTGTATGCCAAAGTATAACTGCATGTTTTATTACTTTAATATGCCTGAGTATATGCTGTATATGAAATGTCAAAAGGTCATGTAACCATAAAAAATCATACACAGATAGAAAAAGTTAATATTTTGAGAAAAAATTTCATTACATTTCTTCTTAAGGTATTACCATCCTAATGCATTACCTCCACTTTGAAGAGTATTCAAATAGGCTAGAACTACTGTTAACTACATGAAAATGAGGGCCGTGGGTTCAATCCCCAGAATTGTCAACTTTTTTTTTTTTCTTTCTTTTTTTTCTTTTATATCATTTATGTATCTCTCATGTCCCATTTGGAAAGAAAAAAGTGTTTAATTTTGATATTTTTAATTTATATAGGTATTTATTGGCTAAATTATGCTAAATCTAGTAATAAATAAGGTACCTGATATTTTCAAAGTGTAATTAAATCAAAACTAGACGGTAAAAGTATTTCATATTTTACAAGATCAACCAATATACTTCCTTAAAAATGTAGGGAAACTTTGAAAACAGGCATCCATTTAGGTAAATTTTAAGAATTTTTTAAATCAGGCTCCCTAAGTAGGAAAATGGTCAGACACGTGGTAAAATGGGTGGGGTAGGGTAACATTTTTATACAGATTTCATGAATTGTAAGTAGAAACCATAATTTTGCTTATGGGGATTGTTAGCTGAATGGTACTATTTGTTTCTTACCAAAAATTAATGGGAAAACATTTTTCATAAGAATGTTATTGCAGATTATTTCAAGGTTCCTCATTTCTAAAAAAGGGTCCTCATAACATCCTAGCTTGAGTTCAGAAAAGTGGCCATAACTTGATTTCCGTACGGTAAACTTTGTTTAAATTTTGCATACATGTGTACTTAAAGGTATATATCTGACCTAGTATGATGTCAATTTTTTAGTTCCTTATAGTGCCCATTAGGGTGGTAATACATTAATACATATTTAAGTTGGAGGTCTTACAAATTCTTATTTTGTTTTGCCGTCCTATAAATCTAGCGCATTTGTAAATATACGGTCATTTGAAATTAATCGCCTGGTTTTTCTTTTGATCTTGCTCGGATCTCAAAAGATTAAGACATAATGGTAAGTATTTTTTTTTACTAAAATTGATAAAGCTATTTTTCATGCAAACTTAATTTTAAGAAAGCAAACGCTTTACATAATGACAACATTTCATCTGTATTTTTGGTTGGACCAAATTACCTTGGAATAATTTAACATTGCACCAAAAGTTTCAAAGGAGGCAAATTTAAATGTAAACATCAAATGAAAACTTGACTAAAACTGTGATTTATGAAATTTATGAATGTCTACAGGTATATAATAAAATATATGCAAATAAACTCTTTTACACAAACAAAATCTTAAACATGTATTGTATTTGCCCACTTACATCGATTTATCTTCAAATTCAAACAAACAAAAAAATGACCTCCAGAGTTGATTTATTTTGTTATTGATTTCTTATTTGTTTATTGATAATTGATATTTAATTTGGTATTTAAATCAGAAAAATAACAGTAGTAACTAAATCAAAAGAGCATAGAAATCAATTGAATGAAATAAAAGTCATCTAAATAAATAAAATGTTCAAAAATGAATAAAAACGGTGTTTATGTAAAATATTCCAAAGGTGAAATATCTTATGATTTTTGTTCCAGGAAATAACATGAACATATCATCACAAAATACATTAAAGAAAAGAAAATTGACTTTTAATGATAAAAAATGTTGCTTTTGTCTGAAACGTTTTGATGGAAATAAAACTGTCCTTGATTCTAAAAAGTTGATTCATTATTGTTTGTATGCAAAAACCGAAATGATGAGGTAGCAGTCAATATTGGCACCTATGAAAATCAAATTCGTTCAGAGGAAATTAAAGTGTGTTACCACAAAGCATGTTGAGCAAAATATGTACATCCTTTCTACAATCAGTTGCAGGACAAAAGTTTCTTGGAACCTGTAGAAACTGTTTCTAAAGTTCAAAGTTGAAAGAACTAATTTTGATTGGAAACAGAACTGCTTTATTTGTGGAAAAAAATGTAGTGAAAACATAGATCGAAATGGTCACGTGTAGAAGGATCTGTAAATGAAAATTCTAAATTATTCTCAAATCTTTTAGAGATTGCTACACTCAAAGGAGACAGTGTTTTGCATGCACGACTTTTGAGTTCAAAGGGAGATCTTGTCGCAGTAAAGGCTAGATATCATAGAAGAAAAGGTTGTCTTCCTCGATATATTTCAGAAAGAAATAAAGAGGAATGTTCAGTGTTTTCAGATAAGAGTAAACTAACACAGATGTGTAGACAGTTGAAAAATGATTTACAAAACTCTATTGATGGTAAAAAAAATGTGTATGAGTTATCATACATGAAATCAAGAATATTTGAATGGTAAATAGTAGCGAGTTATCGTTCCTAATTGCTGTTATAGGTGGCACTCTGCCTGTATTGGTCCATATCGATCGTTATCGATCGCCATTTTGACAGCTTGTCAAAGGAAAGGCGTTCGAGTGTAAAAAGTAAACAAAAACTATCAAAATATGCCCGAAACACATTGTATCGTACCTGGATGTACAAATACTGGCGACCATATTCTTCTTAAAGCTAAAGATCGTCGGAAAGCCTGGATTCAAGCTATAAAACGAGGAAAAATACATATGAAAAGTGGTCACCTCCGAGCAAATACTGCTACATTTGTCAGGAGCATTTTGTCAATGACGATTATATATCCTACACATATCACGGTAAGTGCACGAATTGTCAGAAAATTGGATTATAAAATAAATTCTTTCCCATGTTCTGTTTTTTATTTTTACCCCCTTTTAAACATTCACGACAACAATGAAAGTGAAAGTAGAAAAAAAGCAAAAAAAAAAAAAAAACGGTCTATATCACGGACACTGCTTTTCTCTCGTCGATAGATATAATGGTTTGTTACTAACATTAATCAATGTTCTAGCTTAAATCTTTAAATGGATGTTCAGAATTTTAGACATATCTTTTGTTCACTTAATGAAATAATATTTTAAGCTATACTGTATGTACACCCATATGAAGGGACCTTTAACAAAGGATCCAAATGTTGACCATTATTTCATTTCATCTAGATGTAGATTCTAGTCAAATATTTAGCCCATAAGGAATGTTTTGAAAAGATGCTTTATAACCACACTTCTCCCTATTTCATAATCACTACACTGCCCCCTTCTTTAACAATTGAGAGTCAGGTCTATGGCATCTCGTTCAATTCCATCTTGGAATCTTACAATTTTGCACCACAGGTACCTGAATTTTGATTTGTTTGAAGTGGCTTTTTTCATGAAAAATACATAATTCATTTCTTCAGGGACAACCCCGTCAAGAAAAACCTTAAAGAGAACTGCTGTACCAAGTGTGTTTGCATGGAAAACACCTAAACCTGAAAATGAAGAGCGTGCAAGTCGTTATGCATCTAGAACAGCAAAGAAGCGGAAACATTTAGATGACATAACTCACTGTGTAGAAAGGAAGGAAAACATCAATCCTGATATTGAAGTTATACAAACCAGCACTGATCTTGAGAATTTATCAGAAGGTTATTGTACAGAGATACAATGTAAAAATGACAGCATTTCAACAAATGATGTTTCAAACTTAAATAATGATGAAGTTGGGGACCAGTTAAATTTATGTCTGTTCCAACTCAAACATTAGACCAGCAAGGATTTACCGTGATAAAAAAAAACTTTAGAAATGACCCTCAAGGTGTCCATTATTATACTGGGTTGGAAGACATTTCCAAGTTTTATTTTGCAAACATTAGGACCTGCTGCATACTGTCTGACTTATATATATTTTTAAATGACATCCATTAGTTTTTCAGATCAATTCTTTATGGTTTTGATGAAGCTGAGGCGTCATACACCCAACTTTGAGCTTAGCAGAAATTTCAAGTGTTCTGACATAGCAGTTAGAAACATCATTATATCCTGGATTAAATTCATGGCTCTTCAGTGGCAAGAATTAGACATGTGGCCATCAAAGGAACTAGTTCAATACTTTGTCCCTAGTGATTTTAAGAAATTATTCCCATCCACACGTGTCATTATAGATGGCGCGGAATGTCCAGTAAAAAAAAATCCTAAAGCTCAACAACAAACATTTTCAACGTACAAAAATAGAAATACAACCAAAATTTTGGTTGGAGCGACACCAGGTGGTTTAGTATCATTTGTCTCGGAAGCATATGGAGGAAGTACTAGCGACAGGCAAATAACAGAGCGCAGTTCCATTGTCAACTTTGTTGACCCCAAAAACAGCATTATGGCAGACAAAGGTTTCAATTTTCAGGACTTATTCGCACCCCGAGATGTACATATCAATATACCAACTTTTTTTTAAAAAAGAAGAACAGAATGACATTTGCAACTGTTGTTAAAGACAGGAAAGTCTCCAGTAAAAGAGTGCACATTGAGCGCGTCATTGGTCTTGCAAAAACATTTAAAATATTAGTAGAGCCATTGTCTGCAACTGAAGCAAATCTTTCATCTGACATTTTAAATGTTTGCTTTATGTTATGCAATTTCCGCTTAAGAATTGTGTCAAAATATGCCTAGGATATGAATCAAAGTAAATAAATAAGCAAAAACTGATATCAATTTAC